GCCGTCCGCCCCCGACTCCCTCGGCTGCTCGCCGCTCTGGGACGCGCTGCTGGTCTTTGGTCCGCGTTCCCGTCCCGAGAGATGCCGAGATGCCTTCCTGAGAGATCAGGGCTTGGAAACCTGCCAGCGCTGGGATAAATTTATTTTGGAGATATAGGAACTATATGTAGCATCAGGAGCCAGGGAAAGGTCAGAATGCAAACCTCAAGACTTCTCAACGGCGTTAACAGCTTGCAAGCCTGTGCTACAGATTTAACTGCACAGGAGGTGATACGTGTTTTGTATTACAGCGTTGTAGGAGAAAAACCAGGAGCAGACGGCAGGAGACAGGCCCAGCAGAGCCGTGCCAGCGGTGAGCAGCTGCTGCAGGTCCCTTGGTGATACTGGGGTTACTGGCCAAATCCCGTCCCCTTTCTCCCCAGCCGCAAAGCAAAACTTCTCACCTAGGAGCAGGGTCGGGATTGAATTGCTCGTTTCCCGTCTCTTGATGATTTCATTCTCTGATGATAATGTTGCATAGTTTAATTGCCTAATGTAGCTGTAAAACAAGAAAAGAGGAAGAAAAATACGGTAAAAACAACCTCATGCTAAAAGCTAAAGCAGGGGCTGCAGCTGACAGCAGTGCATCTGCCCTTACGCATGCCTGCTGGCTCGGCGCGCGGACCAGCTCTCGCAGCCGCTCACAGGTTTTGAGGTGGCTCAGGCTCTGCTGGAAATCCTGGCCAATTGATCCATACATAGATTTGCTCCAAACCTTTAGAAATATTTGAGTCTAAGAATTTGGATACTTTTTAAAAAAAGCTTTTAAAATTGGAAGATAACTTTTGTCACAAGGAGCCTCTTCAAACCTGAATCCGGAAGTTTTCATGCTGAAACATTTAAAAAAAAAAGTACTGCTGCCAATAGTCTGCGCCCACAGGACGTTTCAATTTGGACCAATTGGTTCTTCCCAAAGCCGCTCTGGAGGCGCCAGCTTAAGGCGCCTTTGTAGTTCAGATAATTTGCAGCCACGTTTTGTGTGCGTTCCTCCCGTCGGGTCCTCTTTGGCGATGGAGCTCTCATCCAAGAGGACAACGGAGCGCTCGGGAATCAAAGTAGCTCCAGACACCGTTTTAGTTGCTCCTAGAGGTAGGAAGGGTGCAGTCGCTTTTAGCCTTGGGGAAAGTATTTAAGATTTGTTTGTTTGTGCCTACACAGGTTCTCCCTCCCTTTAGTCATTTCTGAGTTAGATCCAGTTATCAGAAATAACCTTCCTTGGCCCGGGGCCGGCTCCAAGGCCCCTTCCCGCTCCCAGCAAGCCCCATAGTGTCCAAAAGCCTTCAGGGCTGTGTGACCCCAGCGTGCCAGAACGGACACCCTCACGCTTTAGTCGATCGCAGGAAAAGCTCCGAGGGGGTTTCTGAGCTTCCCCAGCTGCTCCGAGGTTTGCAGGCCCCTTCCTCTCCGTCTCGCCCATGCGCCGCCCCACCAGACCCCAGAGCGCAGTAAATGCCCACGTCTAGTGACTGCTTCTTGTTCCCGGATGTCTCCCCATCGCCGCCCAGCTCACCCCGCGGAGACGCAGGAGCAGGCGCCAGGGCTCGGAGCGCGGCCCCGCCCCCGGT